TTGTATGAGATGAACTCATCTATATGCTAATTCATTGGCATGTAGACCTGCCTCATTCCTTCCATTCAGGACTGTTTACCTATTAGCTCTTTTAGATGCAAAGGGAATTGGAATATTAAAACCAAAAAGCAACGGAATACCGAGCATTAGCAGTACATCAGCTGTTATTATATTTATATTACAGTGGCATTTTGCCCTTTGTTTAAGATGTGACCACCAGCCGACTTCCATGACATAATAAAATAAGCCAGCTCCTTCACTTAAGTTGGACTTGTTGCCACTGACAAAGGCACAGTGGGTTTTCAGAAGTCTTTCAAAGGACGTAGAAGGAGTCCACCCTGCTGAAAACCACACTGAGTCAAAATAAGAATGATCTGAGGCTCAAAAAAGCAAAACATATCCTGTTTAGCATTTCAAAAATCAGTTTGTGGTTGTTAATATGTTGTTCTTTTGTCCATTTGTGTAGACATGTTTACAATTTAAGCCTAAAACTGACTGAAATGCAGTACAAGAACTGTGAATGGCCTTATAAGTCAATGTTTGAGAGATCAAGTGACAAGTGGAGCCTAAATGTTAATGTAATTTCACATGAACTAAGCTGACAGTGCTGCAATCAACCATTCCTGATACAGAGGACTGTTGTGTTTAAGAGGATGACAACCCTTTTTCTTATTGTCTATGTAATTCACTAAAAATTGCCACTTACAGCTGCTAAGAGCTGGGTGTTTCATCTCCAAGCTTCCTCTGGTCTTTGCTACTCATCCCATTTCTACTTCCTCCAAAAGTGCCACCACTTCATTAACCTTGCCAGGCATGAGATAAGAGAGGCAGTGCATCAAAGCTGCCTGCCCACAGAGAGAACAGAGCCCGGCATGTCTCCACTACACAGCATCCATCACACACACACAGTCCACAGCCCGTCCCGCATCTAGACAAGTCTTTTGTGTTTCAAACTGTCATTCAGAGGTGCTTTTTTTGTAACTTTGTGTGCATATGACATCATTATGTTTTAAATATAACTCCGTGAGTAATAGCGTTTGGGAGGAATCCAACATTTGCTGTGGTCAGATTTGCTGCACCTTTATGAATGGTCTCCAGAGGCATTTATGAGAGGAGGTCAGGCACACGGCACCGTCATCTCACTTAAAACCTTGAAAACAAGAAAATTCAACAACCAAAGCATCAAAGCTAACTTCAACCCGATGAGTAACAGCTCCTGACTTCCTCAAAGCATGAAAGTAGACAGGAAAATGTATTAACTGAGTCACAATATTGTTTTACTTGTGCACCACATACAAATCTCTGTGGCGCATTTAATCCCTCTACCCACAGTTTCTCAGAAAGGAGGATATAAATTATTTTCCTTTGGAGGAAACGGCAAATCCCTGTCTGGATTCTGTTAAAAGGCTTAAAATGTCACTAAATGCCAAGGCTGAGACTCCTGCTAACACGTAGGTCTTTAAGACAAGATGTTAAAGCGTTGAAAGTTACCTGAAATTGATGAGGTTAATATTCTTATCGCAAACCGTGGCTTCTGAGAGAGTGGATATTGAAAATAGCCAGGTAACCCTTCATATTAGAGGCTATCACATGGATTAGCAGTATAAACACCAATTACACATTTCATTGTTTATTGTCAGTGGTATTTAGAAAACATGCTACTGTGTAGAAATTAAAGGATTGGGAAACGGAGCAGGGTATTTTCTGCTCTATGGTATCATCGTAAGTATATATTTCAGAAAAAGAAAACAAGAAAATGTCCTTAAATATGAGTCCAAATGCTGTAAATGACTCATTTACCACGGATATCCTCTTCCATCCCTTTATGGTCATATAAAATTCCAAAACCACACTATATGAGCATGGAAGGGTCTGTCACTAAAATGTTAAATAGAGGACAAAAGGCCACCAAAGCAGATAGGTTTTCTTAGACACCATCCTCCGAGTTCTGTGCCAGTGTGAGTCTGAGGTAAAATACAGCGCATTAAGTCAACCTCAGAGGCAGCACAGAAGAGGGTAGAGTGAGACATTCTGCTATCTATTAAGACTTGTATTATGTATATATTGTATTTTGAGGGAATTTTACTGATCCACAAAACCAGCAGGAAAGGATAAGAGTGAGTCTCTACGACCGTTTGGTAAGCAACTGCAGAGCAGAATCTCCGGCGAGTTGAAAGTTGCTGTGCCGTTAAGGAGAAAGTCTGGCAGAATCCTGCATGCCCGCTGATAACATGGTTGGATTAAGGATGTTTAAGGGAAGTGAAAATTATTCATTTGAGATGGATGAAAGCTGCACTTGTCAAGTCTACCAGTCATGCACTTTATACATTTCATTTCCACTAGCCAGCATGCATAATTTCCCCTCAATGCAAATTTCTGCACACTGAAAATTGTGAGCATATTTACACCGCTCCCTTAACACATTCCCTGACACATAAAATGGATAATCTCTACTGAACAGGGAACAAAACAATGCAATTTTGTTTGCAGAGGTGTGAGAATCTAATTTTGTGCCGGAAGATAAACATACAAGTCAGTAGAATGCAAACAATAGCTTTCATTTAAAATCCTGCCTGAATCAAAAATCTATGGAAATTATTTTAGCAAACGCACAACTCTCCATATCGAGAGCAATGGCTGATTTCAAGTCTCAACCCTCAGCCTTTCCGTTGCTTTAGGAAACCATGTAACAGATAATTGTGTGTACAGCATATCTTTCTTTCTGTACAAATATTATGATCTCTCTGATGAGAGTAAAATCTCCAGCCTGAATGACCAATAAATTAGAAGCGCACTTCTCGTTTACTCATCAGAGCTAATGAGCCTGATAAAATTACCTCGAGGATCATAATTACAGGCTAGTGGCAGAGGCTCTGGCAGGGGCAGGAATGAGACGAAATACACACACAGAATTTAGATCGCCTTGCAAAAAGGAAGTGAACAACAGCTAAAGCAAAGCACTCGAAGACTAATATCACTGTGCGGTCAAAGACAAAAGACTGTACCCATATTGTTAATCAGATTTAAGCAAGTGTACAGGATTAACATGATTTGAGGTCCCGGGTAATATTGCAGTTTCCACCTTTCTGTCGGAGCAGTTCAAACTGATTTTACCCACCCTTTCATAAAGATTAAGCACTTCATGGGTAATGGCATATTTTAATGAACGATGGCAGCCTGGACACAAGAGCTCACCTCAGAGGATTCCATTTCATCACACATTCACAGGATGAATTGTTTTACTTATGAATATTAATGGCCCTCTAATTTGAGGCTGTTGTTAATGCTTGTCGCTAGGAGCTTGGCAAATCAGGTCCCATTCCTGTTAAAACCATGTATTAGACACCCCCCTGACACTAAGCCCTCGCCTTTGATTCTTAATTGCAGAAGTGCAAGCATTTGCAGTAGATGGGGCGCAAAGCTTTAATTAACTCTAATATCACACATTCAGTCTCGACTGTCACCCACATCACGCATGGCATTTTGCACCAATATCAACCCCAACTCTGCTCAGCTAGAAAGATTGTGTTCCAACTTCATGATCACAATTTCATGCATCTCAAATTGAGGGATGTGTCTCTTATAAGTAGCTTCAATATATTGATGCTACCGAGTTCTTAACAGTCTAAACGCTTTATTGAAAGCATACATTGATCCAGCTCTGATCACTGCACAAGTTTAACGCGGAAGGAGTTGTTGGGTTCTTCCTGAGGAGACGTCTAATCTGAGCAGCCGCTCGTGTGAGCATTGATGAAGCTTGTAACAAGAGATTGTTAAGAGTTTGTGGATCCGTGTTCATGCCGAGATGGGTTCAAAGCAAGCCGCCTGAGAAAATAATTCAACCTCTCATACGCACAAATCTTTAAAGGATTTATTGAAGTTTTAAATAACTATAAATAGAATGATTACATACCATTCAACACTTCAAAGATGCAACATTACAGTACATTCCTCAAATGCTGCAAAAAGCTATTTTCACAGATGAGTGACTCCACACGTCGTTTGAGCATTTTAATAGCTCAGGTAGGGAGCAATTCTGATGCAGATATTAGTAAAGAGTAATGTTTAATTAAACCAGGTTTGAAGATAAAGAGCTCAATTCAACCTATAGTCTATAAGCCTTCCCCAGCCATAAGCTACTGCTCTACCTAATCCTCTTTCACATAACATTATTGCATCGGCACAGCTGAACATTTTTGCAGCATTTATAAAATTAGCAAAGAAATTAACTGTCTGCACTGTGGCAAATTGGATTTCTAAGTTTGTGCCTTGTGATACGGCATACCCAGGCTGCCACCTACAGTACAGTGTGAGAGAGGAGCCGCAGTCAGCAGGCGCTCAACATGTGTGGCTGTTTCACAATCCACGGCCATTTAAACGGAATTAGAGCTCTTCTAAAACATTTGTGGAAAAGTTGGTCAATTAATACTGAAATATTTTCATTTTGAATCAAAACTTTAAAAAAGGATGACAATTATACTCATTTGTATTCGCTGCCACAGATAAGTGTCCACCCCCCCTCCCCCCGTTAAGATATCATGATAGTTGGTTCAAAATGTGCCCTGTTCTTCTCCCTGATCTCATTTAATATTTAATCAATATTTAAAAAAAGTAAATCGACCATACTTCCTCATTCTAATCATTGTAAAACTACATTGATGTCTACGCATCAAGATAAAACTGACATTTCTTCTGGGATGTTCCCCTCATTTGCCACACAGTAATGTAAAAGTAAAGTTTTTCTAAAAAAGTTAAAACTGCCCAAAAAGAAATGTAAAAAGTGAATGAAATGCATTAACCTAAACAGATTTTTTTTTGTTATTTTTACAAACCATGAACTCTCAACAAAACTACAACTCACACAGAACATGGCGTTTACTCCTTTCATGTTCAACTTTATACTGCATCAGTTAAATATAAAACCTTAGTCAAATTTAAAAAAAAAACAAAAAAAAACAATGCCACTAAAACATTTTTTAAAGTCAGTTTAGGGCAACAAATCATTCAACTCGTCTTTTACTCCTTCGCCTGAACAATTTTGAGATGGAAGACTTCCTCTTTATTTTGGGCTTCTTCACTCCTGTTCCCGCACCAAAAAATAAAAAAAATAAGTTTTCCATTTTGGTGGGTAATCCAAGACATTTTATACAATACTCACCAAGATTTTTCATCATCTTATTCAGCTGCTGGTCTTCTTCAACTTCTCTGGAAAAAAAAAAAAAGAGGAACTCCACTTATCCAGTTTATGTTCTTGGTACATCTGCCTTTTTCTGTGCAAAATTAAATGAATTCAAATTAAGGTAGAATTTTCTTACCTTAGCCTGTCCTCATCAAGACCCTCCACAATGGCATTTCTGCCATCTACAATCTCCATCAATCTCTTCATAAGCTTCTTCTCCCGTTGTCGCTCTTCTCTGGACTTTAAATGATCTGTGATAAGAAGGCAAAATGGCACATCAGAGAGAGAGACAGCAGGCATTTTGGTGAAGAGGCTGCCTGCTTTTTGTAATCCCTTACCTGGTTTCTCCATCAGCCGGCGAAGTTCCTCCTCTACTCCTGGCTGCTGCTGTTCCAGCTCCTGAGTCTTGGCTCTGAAATAAAATATTCACCAACACCCTCAAAACAGGAAGAACCCTCCAAAGTGTAAATAATCCCAATGTACATCTGATGCGACAACATCAATACTACAGAGAATAACTTAAAAATACTTTAAATTACTTTCTTTTATTAAATGACTGACTAGAATTAAATCAGGAAATGTCAGAGGAAAGCAAATAAAATCACTTTACTAGTTAGAACAGTTATTCTCAATACACCTTCAAGCTCTGACATTCAGTGAAAACTCACATGTACACAATCTCCGACTCCTTCCTGATGAACATCTGCTTTTTATGAATGAGATTAAACCAGTCAACCATCAGCGGGTCCATCAGTATGTCCCCATCTCCCACTGAAAATAGTGGATATGAAATTTGCAGCATACAGCACACAATCATGTCAAAACCATAAAAAAGACAGAAACTTTGTTCCAGCATAGGCCTAAAAGTATCCATTATGTGTAAAAGAAAGAAAAAGCAAAATAATCGGGAGGGAGTTAATTCCATTTGTAAGAAGTACGTTCCTGAAATATTTCATCTTGTCATTTTTACCGTTAGCCAAAAATCAATAAAAGTTCTTTTTTTCTGCTTCACTGTGATGGTATCCAAAGCCGGAGGATGGAGGAGGATTTATGAATTACAGATTTTAATATGTCAAACACTCCTTTTTAGGTGCTTAAGCTGTCAGATTGTTGACTAACCAGATCTGGACAGTTACTTGCCAAGTTTTTCATCATTTAAGCAGGTAAAAAAAAAAAGTCTAATTTCTAAGCTACTCTCTAAGAAGCACAACATTAATGAGCACATTGTCGAGTTGTACTTTCACTTTATCTAAGCCAGGCCCTAAATTTGGGTTGCATTTAATTTACTGAGGACAAAAGTCAACACAATCGAAACGTATAATTTCACCCGTCACCAACAATTAGTTACAAAAAACAAAGGAGGATAGCAAGAAGATTTAATATCTAATTTGTCTTCCTTTCTTCTACATTAAATTAAGATTTTTAGGATGACTGATTTACTACAAAGAGTTTTTGCTAAAAACTGAGTAATGAATGTCAGACGTTCACAGTTCAATCTCAATTAGTGATCCAGGAATGCATGTGGTATGAAAACAAAGACTAAAAAACAGTTACTAGAACTCTGCAGTGTGCTTGAGAGTCAGAATTTAGTTTTAATGCTGACAAATTCACATGATCTTGACTTGTGGGAAATCGATGTCAAGGTCTAGGCACAAAAGTGTATACCCTGGCTTCCTCAGCGTTATGCAGAATCATATATATTCATTAAGCATATTTCTATACCCAAGTCATGTTGACCTTGAGCAAAGCAATCATGCCCCCCCAACTCCCACTCCCTCAAAGGGGAAGCAACATCCCTGTGGGCTGACTGTGCCTCTCACCTCATTTGGCGGCAGAAACTGTAATAGAAATGGCAGGTAACTCCACCAAACACACAAACCTCTGGCCGATGCTGAGTAAATGTGTGATGTAACCTGGGCACAACTCTAAAATACAGCAGGATGCTCCAGCAGTCCATACTAAAAAGGTAGTTCAAACCATTTTCTGAAAATGAATAACCAATAACCCTCTGAGATTAATATAGGAATGCAGGGTTCTACCAATCCTTTAAGTGACCCAGTAAGGACAAAGATTTCAAGTGGAATGAAAGAGCACTTTGGGAGCTTGGAGATGCATGTATGCATGTATGTATGCATGTATGGAGATGGTTACAGATTAAAGTTATGCGTCGAGTAAACGTGCAGTGCGCTTCATGGAACTGGTTTAAGCGAGTTGCTTGAGATTTTACAAGATCCAAATTGAAAAACTTGGTAGACAAAAAAAAAAAGTGTAAGCAAGAAAGGAAGTGAGTGGATAGAGAGCTGGAGGAGGAGTGTAAAACGTACCTTCTTCACAGCTCCGGAGCTTCTTTTCCAGCTCAACTCCCTCCTTTTCCAGCTGAGCCAAGTTTGTCTCAATATCGTTCAACTCTTTCTCAATCTGCTCCACTGGAATATGAGAGGACTTGGCCTGATATAAAAACAGAACTTTATTCACTGTCCACATTATTTCAGATTTTAATTATTGCCACTTTAATGTAAAGAAGGTCATGCATTTTCCCCCCTTTTTTGTCTTAACTGGGAACGTAACGAAAGCATATTTGTGGAGCTGTTAATTAATCTCTTAAGAGACTTAATGGAGAGAACTTACAGAGGGTGACCTCATTTCAGTCCTGAAGGCGTTGATGGGTGACAAATACTTTCCCTTTTTAGCAGCTAAGAGGTAGATAAAATAGGATTAGATAGTCCTTTAATGCAACTTTTAAGATATGCATTGTCACGCAACTTCATCGGATATTTTTTCATTTAAATTTATTTTTTTTAAATCAATAACATGTCCATTTGATGAGTTTTTGGAAACCAACCTGAATGATTGCTGGGAGTGGCTGAACCAGTCAGTGAAGAGCTGAGAGAGTGCACAGCTGGTGGTCTAGGTGGGGATTTCACAGGCGAGCGACTGTGTTTAAACCCTAAAATAAGGACCAGAGGCTTCACAAACTTTGGATCAAAAGGTTAAGAAGCTCAGCCTGTGACACAGATACATCTAAAGTACCCTAGCAGTTACATCTTGATCCATCCTCAGAATCCCACTCATTCTCACAAGTCACTCATTTGGTCAAGATGCCTAGTAAAACTTGATAAGGCCACAAACCAAACTGTTGAAATAATCTAAAGCTTTTCATTCTGACAAGTATACAACACAACATGCTGAAATAGGGTTTAAAATCATTACTATAATGTTCTCTTCTGATTAAATCATGCTTAATTTTTGGTTTTGTACACTAAAAATCTTGGTCATAATGCAGAGAAGCATCTCACCGAGGCTTTCAGAGCCTGACGGAGGCTGGATCAGGGGATTGACTGGATATAATGGGGCAACACTGACTACAGGTACTGTAGTTGTTGGAGCTGAGGGAGGTCTGGTGGTGCGGATGGAGACGTTACATGGAGTGATGGACATGAATTCAGATGCACATTGCTCAGTTAAGGTTTCAGGTTCAGCATCTCTGCAAGAAATAATAGAATGCGCGTGAGAAATACTCAAATTAAAAACAGATTGCAGAGATTGGTTAGGCATTAAGTATGACAAAGCAGGCTACCTCACCTTCGACTTTGTTCTATTAAAAAGATGATGGAGGAATTATCAGCAGCAGAGAGGAATGTGAAAATCTAGTGTTAGAGTCAGAAAAGGTCAGGCATGGCACTCCTTGGGGCTTGTTAAGATGGGAGACAGAGTTAGGGGCTGAACTCTGAGCCAGTCAACAATAGCAGGGATGGAGGAAACTTGAGACCGCGTTCTGAAGAGTGGATAAGCTGAGAGGTCAGACACGGTGAAAGGTAAATCTTTAAAAAGACATTTAATGTCCACTGATGTGATCTTTGCGCTTTTAGCCCAGTTGATTGTTTAGTATTAGGAGCCACTAAAATATTGGAAAACACTTACTTTAGTCCTTTCACAGCTGTTAAAGATTTCAATTTTGTTTGCCACTCAAGGTAGCCTGGAGCATCTGTAGAAAAACAGGAACATTTATTTTTTGCAAAAAATTGGTAAAAGTGTAATGGGGCAGGTGTTAATTTAATTCAAAATCATATTCAAATAATTAATATACTGCCAACACAACCCAAAAAGCTGCAGTGTCCTATAATCTGCAAGATGCCTGGTCTACTTGTAGTTAATATTAACCAGCGACAAAGTTAATTTCCCGGCTGGAAGATTTGTCTTTTCTGCAAAAACTGTCATTAGGCTAGCCACAATAAGACCACCAATAATTGAGCATCTGTCTTCAAAACACTGACAACCGTTTACACACATCCATCCTGGGAGAATGACAGGTCTATAAAAGTTCATTAGTGCAAGACCAGAATGAAAATGTCAGCTAACAGCATGCCAGATGCACTGGCTGCATAAATGGGGCAAAACTGACAAAAGAGCTTTGTTTTCTATGAATGTGTGAGGCAGACAAAGAGGATGAGGGGGGTTGGGGATGAATGTTGGCTGGATGTCAAATAGTGGCTCAAGAACAAGTGAAATAAACTCTGTTGAGCTTGCCTTTGGCACTTCTGAATGCATGTGCTGGCCTGGTGTCATCTTTGTTGATGGTCTTCAGGCATGGCGTTCCCGTCGTGTTTGTCTGGCCGGAGGCAGACTGTCCTGCCCGGGTTCCCGCTGGG